GAGATGGGCTTCTCCGGTCGTCTCAGTTGATACCACTCCGATGCTCGAGCAGGTGAACAGGAACTATGTGTTCCTCATCAGCCGGGCTCTTCCACAGCAATATCTGCTTTACAGCGTTGCAGGCAAGGCCGGTAGCTGACTGCAGGGCACAGAGTCAGGAAAAATAGCTTCTGCTTTGGCATGTGGAATTAGAGCGGTTTTGAGACCTAGAGATGAGAAGAGACAGACAGGTGAACAGCGTCTGAGTAATATCACTGCATCTTTTAGAAGGATTTTTAAAGCAGACCAAAGATGCTTTTATGCAACTTCTTAGAACTCTGCTTGCTCTATTACTTCAATCAATAGCAAGTGTCAAATTGTTTTTGCAAAGGTTTTCTGGGTTTTCTTTAATTTTTATTCTTTAGTTCACTGAAATAGCAGGTCTCTTTTTTTAGATAGACATAAAAGGGGCTGACAAAACCTGCTGCTTCATTATCTCCAGGTGAATTCTGTATTCTGCTCCTTCGCTCCTCTTAGCTTCCTGCTCTGTCTCCTCTGAAGTACCACAGAGCTTTCCACCTGCCTTTTTTTTAATTTGTTGATATTTATTTACAAGACAAAAAGCTTTATCAATTAATCCACTGCATATGCTGTCTGAGCTAGCCCCAACCTTCATCAGAATGGAGAACAAGCCCTGCTGACAAGTTAGGGCCAGATCCTGCGCTGCTTCCTTGCAGCACAGCACCATGGAGGTGAGTATCATTGCCCACCTTCCCCCTCCAAAGCAGCAGGTGGGATGCTGAGGGATGGAGTCCCCTGGATGAACCTTCAGGGAGAATTCCCCATGTGCAGAGGGCTCTGACCCTTTTTCTGTAGCCTCTGGGAAGGGGGTTCCTATACCTCTGGAGCCTACCACGACATGGAAGGCTCCTTATTGGTGCTGGCTCAGGTGGGTCCCCAGGTGTCCCTGGGCTGCTGGTGGGCTGGCAGCCTGCACCCACGTCCCCATCACTGTGACAGGGGAGAGGCGGAAGGGAAAAGCCTTATAAATCGCAAAACCTTGACTTGTACATTGGAACAGATGGAGATCATAAGGGACAGGGATCCTCTTCCTTCAGTGTAAGGCGGCTTCCACCCGGCAGAGTGGGGGGCATGAACAGCAAGTGAGAACGGCCCAATTGTAACTGCCCTCTGATGGTGGGAAAAAGGATCCTCCACCCATCTGTTACTGCCTACACTCGCTACGGCACCCTTACTTGGAGGCTGAGCAAAGGACCTGACAGCCTGTTCTGGTACGAGTCACCCCACAGGCTACCCCAGGGAGTCTCTGGACCATATGAGGAGATTCATCAGGTGCTGGGCGATGCTGGGAGAGAACGGGATGCTCCTGCAGGGATGCACTTCCCTAGGAGATCCTGACAAAGCCTTGTAGCTGAGAGCAGAAGCTTGTAATACTGTCCTGCCATGGGTGAGGACACCGGTGGGTCTGTGCTGGGTATAAGCAAGGACAGCTTATAATTCTCACTTCTTTATGAGAATGATGGATTAATCCTGTCTTTGCTAATCCACCAGGACAGAATAGCTGCCGTAAGACTCCTCCAAGCTGCAACGGGTGCTCACAGCTGTATGAGCCAGAGGTTGTTAAGCACACAGTTAACTCCCACAGACCGACTATTTCCTGCTTTTTTTTATAACCATTTCTCCAGGCAAGTCTCTCCTGGTATTTTAAAAATTCATTTTAATCAATTTAAAATTAATAAAGAAACAGTGAAATCCTTAGGGCCTGAAAGCTCCAATCTCTGCCACGCTGGAAGTGATGAGTCAGCTCCAGCCTGGCCGCCACAGAGCCTGCGGAGGGACGCCTCCAAAGCGCTGCCGCTGCGCTGAATTAGGTCACTTGGTTTGCTATTTACAGAGAGGGAACCGCCTCTGCGATTGCACGCTTCCTTCCTTCTGATGTGAACGAGCTGCTGTACTCCGAGGGCACAACCGCCGGCAACACCTTGCTGTCGCCACAGATGCTGTGGCTCTGTCCTGGGCATTCACCGGGCGGGAGCACAGCCGAGCCTCTCCGAGGGGAGGGAGAGGACTGCGGCCACCAGCAGCGGGACGCGGTGACACGCAGGGTCCCGTCCCACTCTACCGTGCCAGGCAGTGTCTCCTCAGGGGGACCCTGGACTCCTGCCCTGGTTACTACCCCATGCTCTGCTCAGGCCAGGAATGGAAACTCACTATCCTGAGAGCCAGTCCTATGGCTCCTGCCCCTGCCCAAAGCCAAGACTCACGCCCAGGCCCAGCTCCGCTCGCTTCACAAGAGAACACGCGCTCCCTCGGCGCCAGAGCAGAGCCGCAACGCTCCCTTGCTAATCACCCGGGTCTAATTGCTGTGCCGCGGTCCTAACAGGCAGCTCCTACGGCAGCTCTCCAGGGGATTAACATTAAGCCTTCGCTTTGTATACTAATGCGGCACGTGAGGAAAAGCAGTTCCCACCTCGTGTGCCCACAGCACGTGAGCCACGCAGGCCGGTCACCGGCGTGTCTGTGGGCCACAGCAGTGCTTGGATGCCAGCACCCCGGCAGGGCCAGCCTGGGGTGGCAGTGGGAGGTGGGCATCCATAGGCTGTAGGCAAGAAGAAACTCTCTGCCCCGCTCCCCACACCCAGTGCCAGGGGACAAGGGAGGCTGAGGAGCTGTTACAGTGCTCTTGCAGCATCAAAGTTCCTGGATTGTAGCAGGGGAGCGGGAACAGGACTCATGGAAGGGCAGAAGCCCTCGTAGCCTGCCCACGACATCCTGCATTTGGACCTCTCTACCTGCTGACCCGGCTCAGGCTTCCCCAGCACGCCCTTCTTGGGGACCCTGAGGAAGGGCACAGGGATCCCCAACGCTGAGGGCCAATCCCCAAAGGCACACGATGCAACTGCTGCTCCCCTGGGCTGGGAAAAGGGGGTCAGAAAAGCTCTATGCTAGCCCTTTGGGGAACAGCCAGGCTCTGCTGGAAGCAGAAAGGCTGCCCATCAGCTGGCAGCTACGCTGAAAACCAGATCTGAATCACCACCAGCTTACAGCGTTTATCTGAAAACATCGGTGACCCGCTTTGGAAAAATCAAGCATATAGCATCCCATGACAGCCGGCACCACCTCTGCATCCCTGCCCAGCTCCACACCGGTGTGGAAAGGACTGGCCAGATGGGAAAGCGGAGAAGTCAGCTCAGCTGCCTTGC